TATGAAGACACTTGTTTTTAAATAATAAAAAATACTAAAAATATATATTAATACTAAATACTAAAAAGAATAAAGAAAGAAGAACTGACCAATATACTTTGCCACTTAGTTTAATATTTTACCTAATGAAAGGAAATTCATGTTGATTATTTTTCCCTAATACAAATACTGAATTTTAATTCTGAATACTTAAATGCATTAACTCTATATTGTCTTTGTCATAACCTTTCTTCATTCTCAGGTCTGGAAGTGTACAGCACCACTGGAATGAAATCTACTATTTTGTGGATCACCTTGCACACAAGTTCATCAGGTGATTCTGGTGATTCTGAACTCATATTGTATAGTTTTTTATTATTTTCTTGTGGTCAGATTACTGTATTATTATGTATTTAAAAATTCAAACAACAAAGTTGTTCTGTTGTGTTTAAAATTAAATTGTCAAAACACTGTACACTTTACTGCGGTACGCAGTTTTAAGTTGCCGGTCAACTGTCCTAAAATATCATAACATGCAATTAAAAGGCTGCAGAGCCAATTTAAATGCTAAGGACAAGACAACTTGTATAGCAGAAAAAGCTATAATGGAATCCTATTAGACCCAATTAATGTCAAATAGGGGGCAACTGCAGCATGATGGTTTCTAAATAAAAAAAGAAAATCTTACCTATTATGCTCTGTCTTCAGCCCCCAGCTCCGCATGTCCTTCATAGTCTTTTCAACGGAGGGAAGAATCTTGATGAAGCTGACAGAAGACAGGCAAGAGTTCATAACACATGCTGTGATTTCAAACTGCCAACTCTGACTGAAAAGCTTTTGATTACTTCGATTTAATTGTACCTGCTGCGAGTCTGTCAGCATTATTTGTATGATCTTGTGTTTATCAAACAAATCAAGAAGAGCATAAGCTCTCATTTCCATGCTGGTCCAACCTTTATGCTGGTGACCTTTGGTTTGGTTCTAGCTTAGCTGGTCCAAATAAAAAACAAAAAAGTGTAAATTACATTAATTGTATCTTAACTACATTTCATTATTTAAACAAAAAGCAATACACCATTTCAAAAGGCAAAAATTTAATGTTCAGGGATCAGATTCGTGCTGGACTGGAGGAACTTCAGAGAGTCTTGCCAGGTGGAGATACCTTCATGCACAAAGGTTTTCAGAAGGTAAGAAGTGATTGTTGCCATTGCTTCCAGTAAAGTAGACATAAGAACAAAAGCACTGTTCATTGAAACAAATATGTGTTTTTTAGGCAAGTGAGCAGATATACTACGGAACAGGTGACGGTACGTTATATCAAATTCTTAAGATGACTTATGTGACTGAGATAGCCTATTGACCAGACATTTTAAAACGTTAAAAGAACGATTTTGAAGTTAAGTATACTATATACTTTTAAACAGCGTTACAACAACCTCAAAAGTTAAAATGAAGCCGTGGTCATATTTACGAAATATACAGTAATTTCAATAAACTTCGACACGAGAGGCAACTTCGCTTGAAGCCGAAATCTTTTCCACATGCGGATTTGCTGCGGCACGGCAAGACAAATCAATCCCTGGCAGTAAACTGATGCTTCGTTCTATTTATGAAGTACTGACACAAAATACAAATAACTTGCAACAGTCGCTTCGCCGAAATTTGACTAATGTTACCGCAATTTTAGACAGTACGCTAAAATATCGCGTTCGTTCGCCGGAGGTGGTAGAGCTGCTAGCTCACTGTTTGTAATGGTACAGCGACAAAACGTAGGCTAGGTCTAAGAAAACTACTATTAGCCTATATATAGCCTATCATTCTGTTACATGTTTACACACCACAAAGAAAGTTTTAAACGTGTTAAAGATGACGTTTAGCAGTCGCTATATCAAAAGACATTTCAGCTGCGCGAAGTAAACCTGCAGTAGGCATACACACTCTAAAAAATGCTGGGTTAAATATAACCCAGCGCTGGGTTAAAAAGGGACAAACCCAGCTATTGGGTTGTTTTGTCGGCCCTTCATTGTGAACAGGTCACCACAATCTTGATCTTTCGGTAACTAAAATCCAATGTAAGAATGAAAGAATACACAAACATTTTTCATGATTTCTCATTCGGTCACAGCTGGCAACAATAGCTGACAGCAAAGATCACGTCTTTCCTGTTAATGATGGCTTTGAAGCCCTGCGAGGGGTCATTGATTCGGTGAGTGAATGGAATAAAATTAAACTATTCCATACAGCTACTCATTTCTTTCTACTGATGATTTTATTGATGTTTCAAATGAGCTGTGACACTTGTGTTCATGAAACTTTGGAGCTGCCTATGTAGTAGGGCTGCACGATTAATCGCATGCGATATTTAATGCGCATATTCGCGCGATTTTTTGCGCTGCTCATCAGTGAACAACGGCTCTGTGTAGTTAATGCTGCTCAATGTGAAAGCCCGCAGGTGATGGAGATTTACGCTGATTACAGACCCGGCTTTACTGATAAGATGCGCGGTAAATATCGCCTGCGATTTATCATGCAGCCCTAATCCAGAGAAGAGCATTTTGCGAAATATTAGACTATACTCATTTTACTTTACCTGTTACGTTAAATATCGCATGCGATTAATCGTGCAGCCCTACTATGTAGGCAGCATTTTATGGTATCAGATGTGTGCTTTTGACACACAAATGGCATAAATCCAAATTCTATGGCAGAATTTCACGTAAATAAAATAATAATAAAAAAAAAAACCTTTTAAACGATTATGCATTTCAACAAACTCAGTGGCTCAGCGGAAAAATAAAATCCATCCAAGATGGCACGCAAAGTGAGATAAATGTTATATATATAAAAATAAAAAAAATACAAATATACAATTATAAAAATATAAATTGCATTTTACAAATACAATTATAACATTCAATTCAAATAAAACTAAACATGAAATTTAGTTCCCAAAATTTAAAAAAATATCTATTATATGTAACATTTATAATATTATATATAATTGATCATTTTTTTTAAAGTTACAGTGCTAAGCTAATGCCAAACTTTATTTAAATCAATTGTGAGTTGACACATATTTGCTTCAAATCAGTCATTTATGAGGTTGCTGTGACTTGCTTAAAACATTCAACAATAAATGCATTCGTCTTTTCTTGCCTCAGATCCTGAAGAGATCCTGTATAGAAATCCTCGCCGTGGAGCCCTCAAGTATTTGTGCAGGAGGTAAACAGACATCAGACCTGAAGCAAAGACCTAGTTCAGCTAGGAAACAAACAATTTTATTTTTTTTTGTTTTGCCATATACAACCACAAAACAAATCTGAATTTTACAAAACCGATTCAAACCAAAAGTGTTAAGATATTATTTTTGGACAAACAATTCTGTCTGAATGGTTATATTCGATTACAAATGATTTTTTTTAAAGGGGTCATCGGATGCTACATGCACTTTTACAAGTTGTTTGAACTGAAATATGTGTTGGCATTGTGTGTACACAACCACCCTATAATTATAAAAATCCACCCAGTGGTTTTTTTTAATCTACTAAAATCTTTACCCCTTCCTCAAATCGAGCCAATCTCAGATGCCTGTCTGTGTGATGTCACAAAAACAGGCCCCTCCCACAACAGTTTGATTGACAGTAGCGTTTCAGCACTGACTGGACTGGCATTTTACCTTAGACCTGCCCTGAGTGAGCTGTCATCAGTCCGCCATTGTTTCACCGCCAGAGCAGATGTAATCTATGTTCACGCAAATCATTTGTGATCCAGCTTAACCTACAGAAGAAGTGAGTATAAGGTTTTTTAATGAATCTTTGCAAATCGCCTTTCATAATAATGTGCTAATTAGCAAGTTTCACGATGAGTGCGGCTAAAGTGTACAGTCTCTCTGAGAGCAGCTCGGAAGAGAGGGGCGGGGTTAGCAGAGCTCATTAACATTTAAAGGAAAATGCTACAAAACCGCTTGCTCTGAAAAGATCTGTTTTTGACATTGTAAAAAAGGTGTTTTTTACACTACCATTGAGAAATTTTAACCAAACTATGTTACAGACTTTTCATTTAGACCCTAAAGAATCATATCGACTTGTGGAAAATGGGCATCCGATGACCCCTTTAAATATATTTAGGACACAACATGTATTTAACATCAAACACAATGTGTTTCCTCTGTTCCAGAATCTTTTGAGGTGGTAGTTCGAGGGAACGGATTCCTTCACGCCCGTGATGTGAACAGAATCCTTTGCAGTTTCCGTATCAACAACACCCTCACCGTGAGTAAGTGAAAACAGCACAGAACTATTTCTGTTCCTTGCACTGCCAGCTGTGTGCTGCTGAATTAATAATAGGTTAACCTGCATTAACTGCCAACCGACAACGATCTCCTCATTTGATAAGGAGCAAGAGTGAAAGTTGTTAAATCACAGAAGTGAGTCCAGGCCAGGCTAATGTAGCATTGTCATTGCTCATGTGGCAATGCAGACAGTCTTTTGTATTGGTAAAGAAGCCAATTGAATCCAAATGTCAGTACGGCTGTCGTGTTTTCAACAATGAGCTAGCATGCCGCTCGAGAAAGGTTGTCCGCAGCACTTGTAAATCACAAGACTTGACTTCAACATAAACCACATGTGCACAAACACATCCACACACCATTAAAAAAAACACACCATGGAAAATATTACCAGGATTTTTGTTCAAATATGTTGGAGGTTTTTAATTGTTTTGTATATGTATCGGTTTGATTAGCAAATGCAGAGTTTAACCAATGTCATGAAAAGCACCTTCGAAGCTCTTTTTCACATTTAGGTGAACAATTTCAGTTCTTTTAGGTTATAGCACTAAACTCTACTCCCCATCGTGCAACTCTTGCATAACCATTACATTGGGTAACTAATAGAATGGCTCAACGCACAGCGCTTGGAATGCTGGATTTATCTTGGAAGCGAATGGCTAGAAATTGGTCTGCTGCGGTGTTGATGTCCTAATGATTTCTGAGCTCTGAGCATCTATCCTTCTCTCTCAGCTGCTGTTTTACTTAAAGAATATCAGATGGCATGGGGGAATGCAAAGTCCATCTCACCAGTGTGTGTGTGTGTGTGTGTGTGTGTGTGTGTGTGTGTGTGTGCATGAGTCTAGGCCAGCGTAAATAGGCTTTGGAGTCAAACTTTTTCCAGTTTCTCATTTTTCATGTGGAAAAATGACAAGAGAATAAAAATTCTGCCCTTTAGTTTAAGGCTGAACCAAAGTGGTAAAGATGCAATAGAGTTTCGGTGTTTGTCTTCTGAAAATAATTATTAGTGGTTATTGCTAAGGCAAGCATCAGCATTACTCATGTGTAGGGGCTTTTCAAACTTCAGCGCATAACTTGTCCTGCACTGTTTAAATAATACCTCAAATCATGTGGCTTATTGAGAAGAGGTGTACTATTATAAGAAAATGGGTCAAAAACATCCAATAGATTTACAATACAAGTGGGACTTGAGTCATATCTGCAGAACAAAATATCATAGAGGCTTGAGGGTGGACTCTTGACTTGAGCCAGTAAGTAACCACCTAGCAACCACCCAAAACAGTCTAGGAGCTGTATAGTAACACCCTGGCAATCACCCAGAACACTCTAGCATCATGGCACTGAGTCTTGCATCAAAGGAATATTTCACCCAAAAATGTACATTTGTGAATATTTGCTCACTCTTAAGGCCTTACAAGGTGTAAATTCATTTGTTTCTTCATCTGAACACAGTTGGAGAAATATGATGGATCCTCTGCAGTGGGTGAAGTCAGAATGACAGTCTGATGAAAACATCACAATAATCCACAAGTAATGCACATGACACCAGTCCATCAATTAATGTCTTGTGAAGTGAAAAACTTTGTAAGAAACAAATCAATCATCAAAGCCATTTTTAACTTTAATTTAAGTGAGTCCTCAATCAATAATATTGCTTTCTCCAGTGAAAAAGAATCAGGAGAGAAAGAGATCAAGCATCATTTTACAAGTGAAACAGTCCAAAACAGTTCTAAACAAATATGTTAGTGGATTTTAAGGTTTTAAGTTAAAAAGTCTTAATGATTAATTTGTTTCTTACAAAGAGATTTTCATTTTACAAGATGTTAATTAATGGACTGAAGTGGTGTGGATTACTGTACTTGTGGATTATTGTGACGTTTTTATCAGCTGTTTGGACTCTCATTCTGACGGCACCCATTCACTGCAGAGGACCCATTGGTGAGCAAGTGATGTTATGCTAAATTTCTCCAAATCTGATGAAAAACAACCTAATCTACATCTTGGATGACCTAAGGGTGAGTAAAGTTTTATTTACTCTATTCCTTTAACAACAAATACTCACCATTATTCTCCAAAAAATATGAAAATCTAGTTTATTATTAATTAGTTTATTACAGACAGCAATAAATGTTTTTGGAGAAAAAAATTTGTTTTGGTGAAAACTACACTGCTGTTCATAAGTTTGGGTTTGGTAAGATTTTTTTCTGTTTTTGAAAGTAGTCTCATGCTCACCATCATTAATTTGATTGAATTATACAGTAAAAAAAATGACTATTAATAATAATAATAATAATTAATTACATTTATATAGCGCTTTTCTAGGCACTCAAAGCGCTTTACATTGTCAGGGGATACAGGGGATACCACCACCAGCGTGCAGCATCCACCTGGATGATGCGACGGCAGCCATAGTGCGCCAGAACGCCCACAACACACCAGCTTACTGGTGGAGAGGAGACAGAGTGATGAAGCCAATTAGCAGATATTGGGATTGTTAGGAGGCCATGATGATCAGAGGCCAATGGGCAAATTTGGCCAGGATACCGAGGTCACACCTCTACTCTTTTCAAAAGACTTCCTGGGATTTTTTTAATGACCACAGAGAGTCAAGACCTCGGTTTAACGTCTCATCCGAAAGACGGTGCTTGTTGACGGTATAGTGTCCCCGTCACTACACTGGGGCGTTAGGACCCACACAGACCACAGGGTGAGCACCCCCTGCTGGCCTCACTAACACCTCTTCCAGCAGCAACCTAGTTTTCCCAGGAGGTCTCCCATCCAGGTACTGACCAGGCTCAGCCCTGGTCTATATTACTATATTTTCAAATGTAATTTATTCCTGTGATGGCAAGGAATTTCAGCATTATTACTCCAGTCTTCAGTGTCACATGATTATTCAGAAATTATTTTAATATTCTGATTTCCTGCTCAAGAAACATTTCTTATTATCAGTGCTGAAAACAGTTGTGATGGATATTTTTGTGGAAACTATGATACATTCAAGATTCTTTGATGAAATGAAAGCTCAAAAGAATAGCATTTATTTGGAAAATAAAAATTGTAACATTATAGATGTCTTTACTTCAACTTTTGATCAATTTATTTTGCCCTTGCTGAATAAAAGTAATACTTTCTTTAAAAAAAGAAATCTTATTGACTCCAAACTTTTAAATAGTGCATGGTGAAATGAAAATGTGTAACGGTGATTCAGACTGGCTTATAGGTTAAGCTGCTGTTAAATTATTTACAAACAATTCGTAAAATGAAACCGAATTACTGATATCAACCCTGAGGACATTTATCAAACTGCTTCTTTTTCTGTGTGTTGTTATTCTCCAGTGAAGAGGCCTCTGGTTGTCGAAGACACGTACCTGCTCTGCCCAGCACCGGTACTGAAGGAGGAGGGAACGTAAGACTTGCTGGAAACTTTCTCTTCAGCTGAAGCAAATAAAGCTAGAATGGAAATAGAAGCACACAAGCCAAGAACCAAATTAAAATATAGGACAGAAAGACGCCCAAAGTAGTCTCTATGAAAGTAACTCTTCTCCCATGCATTTTAGCACTTTCAATTTAAACGAATTGTAAATGCTTCATAATAGTTAAGTAATTATCATAACTGTTGTAAATGCTCATCATTTTGAATTAAAGAATGTAAAAAAAATCTACAGGAAAAAAAAAAGATTTGGTTATGCCATGAAATTATTTTTTTAACAAGACTATATATGTAACTTTCCTGTAACATAATAAAAAAAAAACAGTTATTTTAATTTGTAATTTCACAGTATTATTGCTTCTACTGTATTATACTGTACTGGGTTTTGATCAAATAAATATAGCCTTGGTGAACCTAAGAGACTTATTTACTTAGCGACCACAAGCTAATGAATGGTAGTATACTTTATATGTAATTTAAGCACAACTGGAATACATACTTTTTTGTATTTATTTTCTAAATTAATAAAAAAAAAATGTGAACAGTTTGAAATAAAACCAAGTCAGCCAGATTTGTCTGTCTCTTTTTCGTTCATAGGACTGCCTCCCTTCATGTCAGTATGAACAACGGCCTGAGTTTTATCTCCAGTTCTGTGACCATCACCACTGTCAGCTGTGTGAGTACAGTAACCCTGCAGGGCAGCAGTGCCAAGCCCACTCCCACTGTTACACTGGGCAGAGCCACTGCCAGTACTGCAAGTTGAAGCTCAGAAGAAGCTGGGTGGTGCAGCAGGATAATGACCCTAAAGATCGAAGTAAATCTACTACAGAATGGCTTCGGAGACATAAAATCCACCTTTTGGAGAGGCCCAGTCAAGCCCAGACTTCAACCCAATAGATATGCTGTGGAATGACCTCAAGAGAGCCATTCACACCAGACGTCCTAAGAATATGGGTGAGCTGAAGCAGTTCTGTAAGGAAGAATGGTCCAAAATGACTCCTGGACATTGTGCAGGTCTAATACACGGCTACGGGAAGCAATTTAAGCAGAAAACCAGGAAAATGAAAATAGTTCAATTACTTTTTCTTGCAACTGTGTGTGTGGACATATTTTTGTTTTTTAATTGTAACATGCAAGATTTTTGCATGCATCTGGACTTTTTATATTTTAAGGTGATTTTCACAATCAAACACACCTGAGCATGTTAATCAATGTCTTCAGGATCATTCGAAAATCACAGGTAGGCGAGTTTGGTCAGGGTTGGAGCTGAAGCGCATTGGCCCTCCATGGCAAGATTTGAGTAACCCTGCTGTAATTACTATCATGAAATGTTTTCCGACAAAGTCACAAACAAACAATATTTCTAAGCTAATAAAACTCAAACAATCATCATCGTTCATGTCTTTATTGAGCACAGTCATTAAACATACAAAGTAATGGTGGAAAAAGTAAATGAAACACTAGGCTTCTGGTGTCACTAAATGCCAATTGGAGTCAGGTGTTAGCAAACCAGGAGTTCAATCAATGAAACAAGAATAAAGGTGTTGTTTGGGGCTAAACTGACTGATATAAACACCCAAACAGCGTGGTCAGTGTGCTATTCACAAGCAGCATTAGCTGATGTGAGCCATGCCAAAAAGAATGCAAAAAAGACATTTCCGAAGATCTACGATCAAGAGTTGTTGATGTGCATGTAGCTGCAAAGGGTTACAGATTAGTCTCAAAGACTTTAGATATTCATCAGTCCACAGTTAGACAAATTGACTATAAATGCAGATGATATGGTTCTGTGGCTACTCTCCATTGAAGTAAGTGCCCAGCCAACATCTCTCCAAAGGCACAATGCAGAATGCTCAATGAAGTGAAAAAGAACCATAGAGTAACAACTAAAGACTTGAAGGATTCATTGAAGCTGGTTAACATCTCTGTTCATGAGTCAACCATACATAAAACACTGAACAGGCATGGTAACCATGGAAGGACACAAAGAAAGAAGCCACTGCTCTCTAAACAAAACATTGCAGCACGCCTAAAGTTTGCCAAAGACCACCTTGACACTCCACAACACTACTGGGAAAATGTCTTGTGGACAAATAGAATTGTTTGGGAAAAGCATGCAGCGCTATGTATGGAGTAAAAAGAAAACAGTGTACCAAGATGAAAACATCATCCCAACAGTGAAGTATGGTGGAGGGAGCATCATGATTTGGGGCTGCTTTGCTGCTTCTTGACCTGGAAAGAAGTGAAGTGCCACTGTGGAGGGGAAAATGAATTCCCAAGTTCATCAGGATATCCTACAGGATAATCTCAAGGTAGCTGTCTGCAAGTTGAAGCTCAGAAGAAGCTGGGTGGTGCAGCAGGATAATGACCCTAAAGATCGAAGTAAATCTACTACAGAATGGCTTCGGAGACATAAAATCCACCTTTTGGAGAGGCCCAGTCAAGCCCAGACTTCAACCCAATAGATATGCTGTGGAATGACCTCAAGAGAGCCATTCACACCAGACGTCCTAAGAATATGGGTGAGCTGAAGCAGTTCTGTAAGGAAGAATGGTCCAAAATGACTCCTGGACATTGTGCAGGTCTAATACACGGCTACGGGAAGCAATTTAAGCAGAAAACCAGGAAAATGAAAATAGTTCAATTACTTTTTCTTGCAACTGTGTGTGTGGACATATTTTTGTTTTTTAATTGTAACATGCAAGATTTTTGCATGCATCTGGACTTTTTATATTTTAAGGTGATTTTCATATTCTATAATGCAGTGATTTTTTAAATGATCATAAAGATGTTCATTTACAATTTAAATATTATTACTACTTATTTTTTGCATTACAGTAATAATAAATTACTATTATGAACAATTATAAAAATGATGTCAATGCAACAAAAAATAGGCTTCATTTTCAGTTCAATAAATATATAGACTCATATTTCTTTCCTTTGATTTTGGGCTGAAATGTGACTTTGAAACATTATTCACAGCTTTCGAGAGATACTATATTTGATTTCAGACGAGATAAAGAAAATACACTCAATATAAGATGCCTTATTAAGGGGTTCCTGGGGTAGTCACACCGAGATCAAGGTAGTGTTTTAAAAAGCTCCTTGCAGCAATTCCTATTAAAATTCTCTCCCTCAACTATATTACACCCCACATTTTTAAGTGGAACCCCATCCAGAAGGGTTTGAGTGTGGCATGAGGAAGATTATTCAACGTTTATTTCCTTTGGACCATAAACCTCCCCCGGATCTGTTTCTCTGCTTTGTCCATCAGACCGACGGAACGTTCTTGGCCATAGCGCTGCTGATACTGCTGCTGCTGATCACTATGGCGACACTCTGGTGGTTTTGGCCCCTCTGTTGCACAGTGGTAAGTTTTGCACTGAAGCCCCTCATCTCAGCTTTCTTTTTCAAAAGTTACCCCAACTGGAGCCCAAAAACCAGTTATTACGGTGCAGAGAAGTGGTTTTCAAGCAGTTTTTGAGCCCAGTGATGTCTTTTCTGAAGTGCAAATGAATGTGAAATTCTGAGCCATGGAAAAAGTCTTGCTAGTAAGTAAGATGGAATTAAAGGGAATCATTTATTTAAAATAATATTTTGCATTCGAATCTTATTTTCATTCCTTCACAAATGATAACTGTGACAAAGGGCTGTAACAACGATTTTGATAACACTTTACTTGAAGCCTTTATGAATATTGGATTTTAAAGCTGCTCATTATATACTTCTTTTCACAAATAATTGTAACCAAACGTAAAATGTAGATTGGTTGTTTGTCATACGTTTTAATGCATTATAGTTTCTAAAGGTGTAATAATGAATAGATAATTATTCAATTGTGATATATTAAAGCTGAGGTTATAATTATTCATGAGATCATACAACTCATTATACGGTGCATTACTAGGCATAATTGATGCATTAAATATACTTATATAATTCAGTGTATATAAAAGTTTAAAGTTAAGAATTTATTTTCATTCTAATGTCAACAGATTGTCCATGAGCCACCGCCACCAGTCATGGACGACAGTTCGGTAAGAGATGATGGCAACACTTATAGGGACCAATTCTTACTATTAACTAGTTGCTTATTAGCATGCCTATTATTAACATACTGGCTGTTTGTAGGTACTTATAAAGCACATATTCTGCATGACCATATTCTACATCCCTAATCCTATCCAATACCTAAACTTAACACCTACCTCACTAACTATTAATAAGCAGCAAATTAGAAGTTTATTGAGGCAAGTCTTAGTTAATGGTTTGTTAATAGCGAAAATTGGACCTTAAAATTAAGTGTGACCAAGGTGATTTGTTTGTTTCCTGAATCCTGAACCACTTCGAGATCACATCACAAAAAGAATCAGATTTTATATGCATCTTCAGACATGAACGTTAGGTAATCTAGTAATTTTAGAGGAAATATGAAAATTGTGTCATCATTTACTCACCTTCATGTCGTTACAAAATCCTGTAATTTTCTTGATTCTGTGGAAAACAGAAAGAGGTAGTTAGCAAAATGTCCAAGCTGTTATATCTACTGTACACATGCAAAATGGATAGCAGGAGCTGATAGGAGCACCACAAAAATATTAAGTAGTCTATGTGACTTGTACACATTTGAAGTAATCTGAAGCCATTTAGTAACTTTGTGAAACAGACCTATCTGAAAATCTTCCCTTATGCCTTAGCTCTCAAATCACATTTGTAATTACTTAAATAAGGTTTGAGAAGTAAAGTGGAAGGGTTGATTTCTTGCAAATAAAATTTTTAATTTAATTTGTATTTTCAATGCTACGCCTTGGTGTCTTGGTAGGATCAACAGTGTGTTTTGTTCTCATCGTGGAACCTTTTAGCTTCAAGTTTATTTCAGAGGCTTTTTCTTGTGAAGGGACGCCTACTGATATTTGTTCCAAACATTTGCTCAGCAAAGTTTTCACAGATGTGCCCACGGATGCCAAACTGATAATGACAGAGGACAGAGTGAGCAGTGTTGCCAACTAATTTTCAGGGGAAGTTGCTAAAGGAAGATTGATTTGTTGCTAAAAGTTGCTAAATGACGCGATGTCATTGCGCGGTGACGTCATTGCGTAATCACGATGCAAAATTGTCACTGCATCAAATCTCAGCAAAAAAAAAAAAAATCTAAATATGTTAATTTAGATGTGTTTATAAAATAATATAAATGCATAATATAATATTAAAATATAAATAACTAATTTTAAATACAACATTGAATTATTTAACACTTTCACATTTTTTAACAATTACAATTTAAGTTTATTTTTATTAGCTAGTAAACTAGTAAAACTACTCATTCTGAACGATTATAGATTTAAGCAGTGTATTAGTAGTTTGTATGCTACACTCTAAGAAAAGTATGTAAAAATAGGGCAAAATCTATTAATATGAAGGAATTTTCCATAATTATTATTCACACGTTTTTTTACCTACATTTTAAATTACGCATTGTATTTTGTGTTTTCGGGTTACAGCAGATAATGGATAACAGATAATGTCTTGGAAGATAATACCTTTTCAAAATATTTTTCTGACAGTGTACTAACTGATCAACAATCACAAGTACAAGCTACTAACAAAGTGTATCATATATGAACAATTATTAAATTACTAAATTATTTATTATTATTAAACAATTGTAAATAGCAACTAACTTAATTCACGTGATGTGTGTACTGCTAGGCATCTTTCCTCTTTTTGTATAATTTAAATGGTAAATGTGTGCCTTTTTATCATATGAGTCACTTATCAAAAGTCGCTAAAAGTTTTAAACAGCTAAATTTGTTGCTAGGTGCTTTTGGAAGAAAAATAAGTACTTATTATAAGTGTACCGTAGTGATTCGGAATAAGACCAAAACTTGTTTAGGAAGATGAATTCATGGTGTACTCGCTCATTATATACATTTTGCAAATTTTGAACACAGAAAAAGTTACATAGTGCTGCTTCAAGTTCTCGAATTTCAGGATTTTGATTAATTCTAATGATTTTCACACTTTTTTTGGACTAAGATCAATGTAAAAACCAGGGGACGAAAAGAAAAGACAAAGAGCAGTTCCAGGGGCGTAGATTACGCGGGGGACGCGTCCCCCCCCACGTTTAATATCGCGTAAATTTGTCCCCCGCACTTTTTCGGGCAAGTGTGTTCGCATAGAGGTTTTCAAGAGCCGGTGTGAATAAATTTCTGTCCCCCTCACTTCTGAAATGATGGCTACGCCCCTGAGCAGTTCCACTGTTGAGGAATTTTTGTACTACCTCACCAACGTTATGAATTTTTTAGAACAATTTAATTGTCCATAGCACATTTCAACCTGGACACGTTGCAGCTCTTCCTCTTTCCAAGTCTCCGATTGCTCCTTCAAAACAGGAAATTCCATAAGCTTAAAGCAGTTCTTGCAGTGTCTGAGGTAGCAGTCTGCAGTGGAAGTACAAACCGATCCCTGATTTCTGCACTCAGGGCTCATCGCTCCAAATTTGATATCTGAACTTTTACTTCAGAAAGATCAACTGTACTGTACTGGGGATGGGTCATGATGGTTTAAAATATTCCATATTCCACAACAATATTAAGCAACAAGCCCTTTTCAAATGTGCAAATAATAAGAAATGTTTCTTGAGCAGCAAATCAGGATATTAAAATGATTTCTGAAGGCTCATGCTACACTGAAAACTGGAGTAATGATGCTGAAAGTTCAGTTACAAATTTAATAAAAAAATATATTCAAATAAAAAACTATAAAATTATATTTCACAGTATTACTGTTTTTACTGAATTTTTGATCAAATAAATGCAGCCTTGATGAGCATACACTCTAAACAATGCTGGGTTAAATACAACCCAGTGCTGGGTAAAATAGGGACAAACCCAGCAATTGGGTTGTGTCCCTATTTTACCCAGCACTGGGTTGTATTTAACCCAGCATTTTTTAGAGTGTAAGACTACTTCTTTCAAAACCATTTAAAACAATCTTACCGATCATAAACTTAAATCATGCTTAAAAATGTTTTTAGATGTAACAATAAATAATTAAATGGAAAAATTGTTTTAAATGTAATATTCAAATAAATCAGTTTGTTTTTCATTATCCTTTTGCAAGATGCTTCTCTTGTCAGTAGAGTTAAGGTCATTACAGTTCGCACATGGACTGCATTTAAAATGAGTTAATGTATTATTTTGATAAATGTTACATTGTTCTAAACCCTGAAGACAGGGTTTGAGATAAGTGGTGGATCATTAGCAAGTATCAAAAGACTGCAAAAGCTTTCTGCAGCTGACATCTAGGATAGCACTCAAAATAAAAATAAAATAAAAGTCAAGCTCATGCTAAAATTTCAGTTCTTTCTCCTAGGCTCATTAAACATGTTGCAGTCAGACCATGTGGGAACATATGGAAACCCAATTCTGTCTTTCTTATGAGCTATGAAATCCAGATAAATCACTGGAAGGTATAGGCTGACATCATTTCCTGTCCGTGCTTGGGAAAGATTATCGTTAGATTGTTTTCATGAGAATAAATAATGACTTTGTTCTTGTGTGCCCTTGAGCATAATTGAATTAAACAAAGGACGCATTCATTTGTAATCAGCTGCTCCAAACACTTCAAATCATCTTTTTAATGCCTAATAATTACAGCGTCAGTTTGGCTGGCTAGCATGAGCCACAGCATCTTTTTCCATCCTCTACTGAAACTTTGTTGTAAGCAATATTTTGTTATATTGTTCATCATAATGTTTTTCCAGTGACAATTTAAAACCAACAGAATTTGACATGGAATTACAATCCAATCAATTCTGGATTGATAAAATCAAGTCATTGAATAATTCATGTTAACTTAATATGTCTGTGTTTCTCTGAAGGATGAAGAGGATGAAGCCTACCCAAAGAAGAAATGGCCGACAGTGGACGCCTCGTATTATGGTGGGAGAGGAGTTGGCGGTATCAAAAGAATGGAAGTAAGGCAAGGGTGTCTGGAAAGAAAACAACAGCTTCCATTTGCTCCGGTCCACTGCAATGATATGAATGTGTATGTGTGTGTCCAGGTGCGCTGGGGAGACAAGGGATCCACTGAAGAAGGAGCCAAACTGGAGAAGGCAAAGAATGCTCGGGTGAAGATGCCAGAGCAAGAGTTTGAGTTTCCGACCAGTGGGACCCTAAACAATGGCATGCGGAAACCCATCTCTCCTCAGAAGTGGTACTCGCCAATCAAGGTAGATCAGTGTACTTTCAGGGGGACTACAAGAGCAACCACAGGTTTTGTTGACAATATAAAAAAAAAACTAAAGCATAACATTTAGATATTCTAAATGTCTTAAAAGTTCAAATTTGTCTTAAAAGCAATACGTTGTCGGCACCAATAGCCTCGCGGTTATTGCCCCGACATACAGCGCAACTGCGCTCACGGCGACCCGAGTTCGAATCCCTGCTTGTGGTCCTTTGCCGATCCCGCTCCCCTCTCTCCTCACCCAATGCTTTCCTGTCTACTCTACACTGTCCTTTCCAAATAAAGGCATAAAAAAGCCCATAAATAAATCCTAAAAAAAAAAACAATACATTATTTGCTAGTACCTCAAGATATGCTGCAAAACCATTACGATTTGATTAGATTCAGGTGCATGCAATTGATATATTCATGTTACAATATTGTGTGTCTATTTTACACAACTAGTTACATTTTTAACAACAAAAAAAAATGCAACCAAAATTTAACATGAACATTTAATTGAACTTGAATCTGAATATAGCAAATTCTTTATCCCAATTGGGACATCCACAACAAAAATACACTTTAGGTTTTTAAATAATATAGAACAATAAATAATGGCTTGTGCAGTAATATAGTTTGTTTTGTCAATGTTAATATACTCAGTTTTTCAAAGTTTTAAATAAAGATTATTGGACTACATTTTATACGAATATACTACTTAATACTTTCTATATTTTAGTTCAATGCCTTACTTGCCATTTCTTTGTAATTACTTGTGAAATTTATGAGCAATTTTTTGAGTGAAAATTGTTTCATAGAAAATCCTACATTCATTTTTTTTCAGTGTAGGATATACACAACAAAATAGGTACTCCAGGTGTTGCAAAAATACACAATGATATAGAGAAATAGATCAAAATAAATAATGTCAAAATAATCAAATCAATTTAAATGACAGCTCTGTGGCAATTTCATCTCTTTTATAACAAACAAGTCTTAATATATCTTATAGATATATATTTTTTTGTTGCGTTGTGTTGAGAAATCATATCGTTAGTCATTTGATCGATGCATCGATCCATACCGATTGCTTTATTGTTACACACTCTAGATGGTAAGATGGTGTCCCCATCAGACTTTTTTTTATTTTCTTCAGTTTTTATCTTTTAAAATAAAGTCTAATAAAGTGATTTTTTTTATTCTTAATTTATCAAGTTTTGCTGGTGAACAGCATGGCATTGACCAGAAGCAAACCAGCCCGAACCAGATTGAAAATTCATGCTGGTCTACGTTGGCCAAGGATGGCATCGTAAAAGGTGTTGAATTAATACAAAGTAAGCCAGAAAATATTCATTTCCCAGTGCGTCCTTGCAAAAACACAACACAACAGCTACGGATGACCCAGTGCAGTGTCATGCTTACGGTATGGTCATCTGGTGGACAATGAACGACTTGGTCATTCATCAGAAGACTGGAAGGAGCTCAGAAGAAGCGGCGTGTGCTGTGGTGGCCTCAGCCAGTCCGGGAAGCGGTTCTTGCATTGTTTCATAATGTCTCTGTCAGATGGAAGGGGAGGGTTAATTTAAACCAGACACTGAACTGAGCTGACCCAAGGGAGATGAGCTTTGCAGAGCTGGTACATTTCCCAACAAAACAAACTCCTTTTCTCTCTCTCTTCCACCTTCTTTCCTCTGGATTATGTTGGGTGACTGCTCACTCTGAGAGGGAGAAATTAAACACATATAGGTTGAGAGAAATGAAGAGAAGCTTCAGTGTGTATTTGGCCCAGATTCTGCAAATAATTTACTCAGTAAAGTGATTTTACACCCAAATAAGGAGAAATTTGAATATTCACTGAATTGAAAATACACAGAGTCAGTCAATTAGATGTCTGGGTCACTAAATTCCAACTGCTACTGTTCTACCAGCTTATTATTTTTCTTTGATCCTGACAGGAAATTGGAAAATTAGTGGAACTTCTGTTAACAATGTGCCTAAAATAAAATTCAACAGATAAGCCCTCTATAAGTCTCTCTGTACCGCTCTCTGTAGTCAATTACAGATTACCCTGAAAATCATCTTTGCATTGCTGATGAAGTGTGTTTTGCAGCTTGAATTTCTCACCAGCATGCTTTCAAGTGTTGATCTCTTGGAACCGCTGTTGTGTTTGGATCTTTCAGGGGAAACTGGATGCCCTGTGGGTGTGGCTTAGGAGAGGATATGACCTCGTATCTGTGATGAGACCTCAGCCGGGAGAGAAGGTAATGAATAGTGCCATACGTAACACAGATGCGCTAAACTTGTGGCGTATGCACATAACAGGTCAAAGGTATGGAACAATAAACATTTTTAATCTCTTATGATCACCAAGCTTGCATTTATTTGATTAAAAATACAATTAAAACTGTAATTGTGATATATTATCACTATTTAAAACAACTCTTTTCTATTTCAATATAATTTCAAATGTAATTTATTCCTGTGATGCAAACTGAATTTGCAACATCATTACTCCAGTCTTCAGTGTCACATAATCCTTCAGAAATCATTCTAAAATGCTTTGATTTAATGCTCAAGAAAGATTTCGTATTATCAATATTAAAAACAGTTGCTGCTTAATGTTTTTGTGGAGACCATGGTACACTAAGAAGTTTGGAGTAAGCACCAAAAACAACAAAAAAAACAACATTCATATTAATTGAGCACCAAATCAGCATATTAGACTGAAAATTCGGCTGAAAGTTCCATCACAGGAATAAATGACATTTTAAAATATATTTCAGAAAAGGTATTTTAATTTATTTCAAAAGCCTTGCTGAGCATAAGAGACTTCTTAAAAAAATCCTTATTCCAGTTGTTTGACATGTAGCGTATAATTTATTAAATTAACTTCATATCAAACTTATAGCATAGATATTCGCCATATAAACTCTGTGCTTATTGCTTAACTCTATGACAATATTTTCAAGTTATAACAACACATTAAATAGGGCTAAAAACTTTCCACACAAGGTAGTAGAAGGTAATGCTGAATAAAGCAGTCCTCTGGGTTATTTCAGAATCGGTTCTCCTTAAAATGTTGCAGGCAGATTGTGAGGAACACTTGAAAACATTGTGATGTATATTGAGGATGAAAGGAGGCCAGCTGTTAGAAATAAGTGCAGTCAGAAACAGAGGCAGACTGAAGGTACTCAGGACGCTGGCTCAGCTTCAGACCAATAGGACCAGTCTGCTAATATTGCTCCTGCCTAAAAGGAATGCACCATAGTCTGCTTAAAATATTAAGCACCCTCCCCTTTCCCTCAGAAGAATGCACAGAGGGGAGTTTTGGGGTGTCTGATCTGCTGTTAAATAGAACAAGAAAGTTGGACGGAAATCAGATGGCCTTTAAAATTAAAGCAATGGGACTGCTTTGGATCTTCACAGGCAAACAAGAGCTTCTGTTGACTCTTTAAAGCTATATTAAACTGCACTGAGCTATATAACACAAAACAGTAAACTGTACTCGATTCATCTCACGAATGCCTTTTTTATCATTCAAACTAGCCATACTGTGGAATAAGTCCGATTTAAGTAGAAACAATTAGAGTTGTCATAAGAAATCAGATTTTCCTTGATCTTGTGAAGTCAAGAGTTTGACATACTATTTAAATATATGTACTTAATAATTTTCCTAAAAACCATGCCTTGGAATCATCAGAAAATGAAGTGCTATTAATATGCACTACCATTCAAAATTTTGTGGTAATTTTTTTATATTTATGAAAGACGTATCTTATGCTCACTGCATTAATTTGATCAAAAAACAGTAAAACAGTAATATTGTGAAATATTACAATTTAAAATAACGTTTTTTTTTACATTTTAAAATGTACTTTAGTCTTGTGATGGCAAAGCTGAATTTTTGAGCATCATTACTCCAGTCTTCAGTGTCACATGATGATTCAGAAATAATTTTAATACGCTGATTTAGAAATATTTCTTGTTATCAATGTTTAACGTGGTAACTGTAAAACTTTTTTGTTTAGGATTGTGTGATAAAAATAGAAAGTTTGAAATAGCACACTTTTTAAAAAATGTTAAATGCCTTTTTACTGTCACTTAATCAATTTAATGCATCCTTGCGGAGTAAAAATGTTAATTTCAGAAAAAAAAATCGTACTGACCTCACACTTTTCAACAACGGTGTATGACGTCACATTTACACATCAACACCTTTTAAGTTATTCAAAAACTTGGCACATCCAGAAAACATGGCTTAATTCTTTGTCCTGACAAAAAAAATGTGTTTTCTTGTTTCATTTCTTATACAAAATGTATTCATATAAGAGCTTTTACAAATGAAATGTAAATGTTTGACTCTACAGGGTCGCTGCATGAAATTTACCCGTGTGAAATCCTGCCCGCCCCCTCGATACCCGCTTTACAACAACCCGTCGAGCCACATCTACAGCCTCCCCCACAGCAGATGCCCTCCTGTCCCGCAGGGCACCCTGCCGCCCACCCCGTGCTGCTCCGCCCACTCTCCAACCTCCACCCTGCCCCCTCTGCCGTCAACCCCGCCCCCAACATCCATAACCCCTCCCCCTTACACACCACCTCCAACCAGAGCTCTTCCTGCTACCTGTCTGAACATCAATGTGACTCTGCCTCCTTCTCCACCCACACCGCCGCGAGCAACAAGCTTCCTGCCGCCCTCATCAACCAGCACCTTGCCTCCGCCCCCTCAGGCAGCTCCGCCCGGACGAGCCCCGCCCCCTTCTCGTCCACCGCCTCGCCCAGGCCCTGATGAACCACAGTGCTACCAGGACTGAGTAGATCTATCCAAGTGATTTGCACAAGAAAAACTGCTGGTTACGCCGGTACAAAAATTAAGTGCTACACTTTTCAGGCATTACAAAGGAGCAACGTGATTGTTATAAATGACAATGGTTGCAAATGGGATTTAACGTGGCAGTGACTGTATTATTGCATACTGGATTCTGATTAGGTTGACAAACATTCTAAGGCGTTAATTTTCTAAAACTGCACATCTATGAAGTAGCTCGAGGTTTGTTGACTTTCAATATCACCTTGCCTTGTTCTTTATTAATTGTTTTGAGGTTTCAAATGAACAGAATGTCAAAGAGAGTCAGATGAAAAAAATCAAAGAGATAATAAATTATAAGCATTTGGAGTTTTTAAAATGAAAAATTTATTTGATTTGCATAGAAAATTTCCATCCATTTGGATTACACAGTTCACATGAACAAACAAATAAACTTAATGCGTTGCATATTCGTCAGTCACTCAAAAACAGGTAGGATTTTTGCAATAGTACTAATAAACTGAATGAGTTTACACAATAGCCAGGTTTATATATTTATCATCAATAAATCAATCTCACACATTTTAATTATTCGAATATTGCTTGTTGCACAGCTAGCTGTATTTCAACCATTCTTAAGTGAATGAACTGAATTGTTTTATGCCGATTCTAAACAAATTTAATAAATGCATTCTGAATTAGGATTGTTTAAATAAAATCAAAAAGATGCAAATAATAAACTATGCCATTATTTTAAAACAGTGTAACGCCATGCTATTTTATATACATTTTAAATAAACAGATTTTTAATTTAGGCCTTTTTTGAGGGTGGAAACTGACGTTGGACCATTAAATAATTGAAGACTAATGTGCTTTAATATTCAACAATTCAGCGGTCGGTTTACAGTTATTCTATGCTAAAAAAGTAGCCATATTTTAATATGCCTAATGGCTTCATTGTTCATAAAAAATAATTCTGTAAATTATTCACATTGTATCATTATTAGCATCTTAACGTATCTTTGCAGATGTATTACAAAGGTTTAAATGAGAAGCATCAGTATTATAGATCCTTTAGTACTTGAGAGATCAGGTTCAGCTTTGATGCTTTTTGAATATGTCAGGAAAACATCTGCAGGATAAAACATTAAAGTGACTGCAAGAACGGAATGAAACAATGACAAAACTGATCAAATAGTTCATTCGGTCTGTAGTCCTAAAACCCAGAAGAGAATTAGCACGTCCATAAATTCCCCAGGGAATTTCCAGTGGGAGTTCAGAAAAGTGGTTTTGGATTTGAGTAAAATAAAGTCTATGTTAACATTTAAAGAGACTTTCACATTCTCCAAAATACAGTGCACACATATCGACTACAAGTTTATGTGCTTGTTGAACATAGGATTATAACATAGGAAAGTTTCTTCAAGTTAAGTTAACCACGGACCATATTTCACTTATAAACTGGAAATAGCTACATGTACAACCCATTAGATAGTCCAGAAGGATCTGACTGAACGTTTGCAGAACGATGCAGGCTTTTGTTTTGTACTGTATATATATAGATGCTTTCTAAACAGCTATGCTAACAACAGATCAGTATTCATGAGTAAAAATTCATGAGGTGCTTTATGATTTTTTATTTAAAACATCTTTTGGTCTGTCGTTTGCAAGTGATGCATTTAAAGGGATAGTTCGGTGTCATTTACTGACCCTCATGTCACTCCAAACCCATTTGACTCGGTTTCTTCTGTAGAACACAAAATGATTCAAACACACTTTATATATTTTCCTGTATATCGGCTAAAGAAACTCATACAGGTTTGAAATGGCATGACATTAAGTAAAGTATCACAGAATTTGTAATAATGCTACAAACTATTCATTTAAGCATACAGCAGTTCTGTTTTTGTTTTTATGCTACATTTAACTATTCTGTCTCTTCTTTTACCTTGAACAGTGATTTTTATTTCTCATTCTGGGTTGAAAAGCTTGTGCTTGAGCTGTTACGGATGTTCAGAGCGTGTCAGGCTATTCCATTTTAACGAAGAGCATGTTTTTACACGCTTCAATTAAATGTTGGAATTTGTACTTCTGCGTTTTACTTTTGGGTCAGCATACTTTATGTGGGCTCAATAGCATTTTGGTAAGCATCACAATTATGACTCTGTCTTTGAAACCATCCACACTTATGATAAAGGAAATGTTCAGCTTGAGCCTTGAGTCACATGGCTGTTATTTGCAAATTAATTGCCATTCATAGCACCGGTGCCGAGTGGCTTAATGAACAGCGATGAGGGCATCAACTCATTAGCAGCACATTTATGCTACCATTGAAACCAGCCACTCAGATATATTAAATGCTGTTGTTTCAGTAAAGCATCGATATTTATAATTGGTCAAACTCAAGGTCTCTTTGAAGACTGTATGGTGATCTCTAAAATAAACCCTATGGACTACTTGCACTGAGCTTTGTGACGCACTTCTGTTTTCAAATAGTAAGTCTCGATAGTTAGGTATGCTGTCAATGTGCTGCATCCACCCAGTTAACTAAACGCCACTTAAAGGGTTAGTTCACCCAAAAATGAAAATTCTGTCATTAATGACTCACCCTCGTGTTGTTCGAAACCCGTAAGACCTTCGTTCATCTTCGGAACACAATTTAAGATATTTTTGATGAAATCTGAGGGCTCTCTGACCCTCCCATAGACGGCAAGGTAACTACCACGTTCAAGGTCCAGAAAAGTACCAAGATGATCGACAAAGTAGTCCGTGTGACATCAGTGGTTCAACTGTAAAGTTACGAAGCTACGAGAATACTTTTTTGCGCAAAGAAAACAAAAATAACGACTTTATTCCACATTTTCGCCTCTACTGCGTCACTTGTGGACGCGCGTTCACGACAGTACAATGAGCGTGTGGCGGCGCTGATCCAGATCCGGCGTGATGACGTCATTAGAAAATGTGAAATAAAGTCGTTATTTGTTTTCTTTGCGCAAAAAAGTATTCTCGTAGCTTCGTAACTACAGTTGAACCACTGATGTCACACGGACTACTTTGTCGATCATCTTGGTACTTTTCTGGACCTTGAACGTGGTAGTTACCTTGCTGTCTATGGGAGGGTCAGAGAGCCCTCAGATTTCATCAAAAATATCTTAAATTGTGTTCCGAAGATGAACGAAGGTCTTACGGGTTTCGAACAACACGAGGGTGAGTCATTTTTGGGTGAACTAACCCTTTAAGACGAGTGTCTGCAAGAAGACTTAAAATACATGTTCCTCAACTGAAAAACACTGTTAAGAGAAGATGAAACCACTGGCTTGCTGCAGGTTTGTAGGAAAACCAATAGTAGTTTGCAAGTAGTCCATTGACTTTATTTATACATGTTCCTGGTTAACAGAGTTCAAACAACTTTCTTCTTCGGTTAACGTCATATGCTCTGGAGACTTATGTTAAGTAATTTAATACTTGTTTTGACAGGCATTGCGCACCACTATTTACAAACCGCGTCTCACTCGATTTACCGAAAATTATGCTCACATTCACTTTCTTACAAGATAAATCGTCTTTGATGAAACATTCCAGTAATGTGGCCATGGGCTGCATCAACACAATCAGAGGCTCTGGGGCTTTAACTCTCAGGGGGCCATGTGCTGCACGCACACTTGAACACTAGAACATAAAGCTTCATTAAATTAACCTGAACCTTTATACATGTTCCAGGTCAACAGGGCTCAAACCATTTTCTTCTTCGGCTGACATCATTTAAAGATAATGAATAGTGAAATAGCTCTTCAGTTATTGTTCTAGACAGCTTCTGCAATTTCCTGCTAGTTAATGTCATAAAGGTTATCCCTATAATTGCAAATAATGATAGAAATGAAAAAGCAGCGTTACACTTTGGGTTTGGCAAGATTTTGTACGACGTTTACATTTTTAAATTCTTATTCTTATGCTCAAAGCTACATTTACAATTAGGTCCATATATATTTGGACACCGACACGATTTTCATAATTTTGGGCCTTTACTGCCTAACTGCCTTTAGTTTTGTCTTCAGGAAGTGAAATGCATGCTCAATCAGGTTGAAATCAGGAGACCGACTTGGCCATTTTAGAATATTCCACTTTTTACCTTCAAAAACTCCTGGGTTGCTTTTGCTGTATGGTTTGGGTCATCGTCCATTTGTATGAAGCGCTGTCCAATCAGCTTTGCTGCATTTGGCTGAATCTGGGCAGACACTATTTCCCTGTACACTTCAGAATTCTTCCGGCTGCTTCTGTCTTCTGTCACATCACACTAGTGCGTTCTTTTTTCTCTCTCAGAATGTACCAAACTGTTGATTTGGCCACTCCTAATGTTCCTGCTATCTCTCTGATGGATTTGTTTTAATTTTGAAGCCTAACAATTGTCTGTTTCACTTGCATCGGGAGCTCCTTTGACCGCATGATGCGGGTTCACAACAACAGCTTCCAAATGCAAATGGCACACTTAAAATCAACTCCAGAAACAGAAACAGCTTTTGAGTCAATTGTCCAATTACTTATGGTCCCTTGAAAAAGCCCATATTCCTTATTTAACTGTAACTTGAATGTGTTTCGGTCAACAGCTAAAATAATAAAAATATATATGGACCTAATTGTATTTGATCAGAACACAGTAAAACAATAATTGTTGTGAAATATTATAATTTAATTAGTATTTTAAAAGGTAATGTCACCCTGTGATGGCAAAGCTGAATTTACAGCAGCTAGTTACAGACGCATACTCACATTTACTTGTTTATAAGTTAAACAGTCTATGCTGCATGCACACCAATACATTCTGCAATAATGTAGACTATTGCCTATACATATTCTCCATCATATTCGCAGTTTCACACAAACAAGGAATATTTTTGTAGTAACAAAATCAATAGGCCTAAACAAAAACTTTAAAATATCAGAACTTCCATAGGAAGTCTATAGCATAAAAAATATGCATAAATATTACTCTCTTTGAATGGCTTGATTTAGCATACTGAAAAAGTATCCAGATAGGACATACCTTGCACATATATTCGATGGGGGGGCTTGGTGAAGGTAAGCATTAAAGTGAATTCCATTTAAAAAAAAAATAATAATCCTGAGGTGTCCTCACACTCAACTGTGTCACACGCTGTTTTCCAGACTGATTAACACTCCTCATTTTTACTTTTCAAGAAAAAGCAGAGTTGCAAATTACTGGTGTCTTGGGGCAAAAATGGCATCACATGGGTTCTTGCCTTATTCTCTTAATATCCACCTTTTTCCTGAGGAACTGAGTGCCGCCATGATGGATTTCAACTTCTGTTTGGATGCTGTCGTGTCCCATGTTAATATAACCTATTGACTGAATTATTTAAACTGAAACTTTTTAAATATAACTAAATTTAAAAATGTGCACAGAGTTAAGCTATGCTGTTGTTGGCTGACACAGAAACAGCAGTAAACTTTCCTGTACTTGTTTTGAGCACCAGCAAATATGTCAGTGTCCGGAACAGTACTTGTTCTACTGGTGCATTCAAGCCCTCCTGAGAAGTTCGTTTTATGAGTTAAGTTGACAAGTCGTAATTACGACGTCAGGTGGGTTTAAGCAAAGACTATAGAAACACAAAGACTGTTCACTCCTATACTTATGAATGGGAGAAAC